ACACGCTCGATGTGGCCGCCCATACAAGGATTTCACATAAAGCAGGTGAACTGTTCGGACCACACATGTAGCAGTCAAGTCACACAGACAGGAAGTCGAAAACAGACTTCTCAATTACGTGGAAGGTGCGCCTGCTTGGTGTCTGCAGTGTGTGTGTGTGAAATCGAACGTGCTCGTGTGTGGTATAGGTACCAGTGCGGATACATGTAGTGATATGGTATGACCAGCTGTTTCTCATGGACGCGCACGTGGCCGGATAGGCCCATGGGGTGACTGTAAGTTGAACAGTTGAGGCGGCTGCGGTTGGTGCTCCTGGCACTGGTTCGATAGCTCCTAAACGGTTCACTTGGTAGACGCGCTGGATCAACACGAGAACCACATCAGGATAAAACAGGCGTTGTTCGGGTTGCCCCCCGATGAGAAATGCCAAACCTAGGGGGTGTGATGGCAAGCGTAGGAGCGGCTTCGGTCGTGTGCCCGATCCCACCTCCGATCTTCTTGGCTGTATCTTGACACCGGACACAGGTAAGTATGGGAAAAGAGAGAGTGCCGTAGATTCTGCGCAAGTCTACTATCACTTAAAAATAATTCACGTGCAAGTCACCGGCCTTGCACCACCCTTTTGTGAAGCATAGGTTGGACAGCGTCGAGGCTGACTGATGAACTGTCGACAATGGTTAGCTAGTCTCTGTGCGATGGTTTCGCAAGTAACCTACCAGGTCCAGGTGTGGTAGGCATGTGCGCCGGCAGTGAGAGTGAAAGTGTTCTGTGTAAATTTGAAACCTAGCACCCAAACACATCTCACTCAAATCAAGTTAATACCATTTTGATGGTCCTTGTTACGGAGGCGAAGAAAATTTGTTGACGACTTTATGCACGTACTGTGACATTTTGTTTATTATATACAGGGTGTCCCAAAAAAATGTATACACATTTTAAGTAATTGTAAATGTGGTTTTTATCATAACTTTATTATTTTAGAAATGAAAAAAATATTTAAACGTATCATTGCATTGTCCTTCCACCGCATTTTGACTATTGCAACAGTGGTTGAATTGAGAGAAGCCATTGAACACGAATGCACCTGAATACCGATGAAACTGTTTCTTAATGTGTGCGGTTGCATTGCTTCGCGTTGTCAGCAGTGTCAGCATCAAAATGGATGTCAGTTTGAGAACATCCTATGAAGAAAACAATTAAATTATACTTATAAATATTTTTACATTTCTTAAATAATAAAATTATAATAAACATCAATTTTACAAATCTGCAAAATGTGTAAACGTTTTTTGGGATACCCTGTATTGAGCGTCAAGTAGTAATAGAGCCATGTTCCATGTCATTCATTCGTTCGTTCGTTCGTTCGTACTGTCAAACATGGAAGACACGCTTCATTAATTGTTCCATTTTTTAAATTTGAACTCTGCGGATCCGCTCCATGGTATTTAAACCAATATATGACTACGCACGAACCCGTGCTACCAAAAATTAAGATTCAGTATTTATAACAAAGCTGTGGTTCGATGGGAGTGATGGAATACAG